CCGGGCAAGCCCCGCTCCGCCTGCCCGCCGATTGGTTCGCTGGACTGCAGCGCCCGCCTAAGTCCCCTTTTGATTGGCTCTCTGGGAGAACCTGGCTCTCTGCGGATTGGCGCGCGACAGCGAAAGGGGCGGGATTCCTGGAGGGGGCGTGGCTTGTGCCTCCAGCCGGCCGCGCCCGCGGGAAATTTTAAAAAGGCCGGAGTGGAGGTGGCCTCCATACCCCTGGCCCTCTCCCAGCTCTGTCCCCCGACTCCAGTGCACCCCGCTCCCTGGGTCGGGACGTGGCCTCCCGTGAGCATTGTGCCCCCAAAGGCAGGATGGCTGGCAGAGTTCACAGCGCTACCTCCTCGGTCGTCGTGGGCATTCGGTGAAATAATTAATATACAGGATGGGCACTAAAGAAACATTTTTAATCAGATTTGCTCTTTCGGCGCTATTTTTTTTTTAAGTTTATTGTTTGCAATACTTTACTCAGAAGTTCTTACTGTGGCTGAGCGCTGGGATACACAGAATAGGATACACGGTGCCTGACTAGTTGCTCAGATCTGGGCGGTAACAGCGTGGTTAACAGATGATCCGGTGCAACCCCCAAAATAACGAGAACAATCATAAACAGTTCACATTTATGGTGAGCCCTGTGTGCCAGGCAGTATGTGAGATGCTACCATTGTTATTTCCGGTTCACAGCTAAGGAAATTGACACTTGAAGTTAAGGAGAGCCCTGGCCGGGGTGGCTCAGTCGGTTGGGCACAGTCCCATGCACTGAAAGGTTGCCAGTTCCATTCCTGGTCAGGGCACATGCCTGGGTTGTGGGCTTTTCTAAGGAGAGGGAAGGAAAGTGTGTGTGTGTGGGGGGGGGGTCCCACAAAGATCTTGGTGTCAGTATGCTGAATCCTTCCGCATCCGCCTAATTCCTGTGGTGGGTCATCTCCTCTCTGGACAGGAAGTGGAGCTTATTAAAATAGAGGTGTTTGTGGGAGTCAGAAGTCCGGGTTCTATGCTCAGGGTTTCTCAACACTGAGATCAAAATATCCCGTGGCCTGTCCTGGCCCCGTAGCTCAGTTGGTTAGAACATCATCCTGATACACCAAGGTTTCGGGTTTGATCTCAGTCAGGACACATACAAGAATCAACCAGTGAATGCATAAATAAGTAGAACAACAAATCAATATCTATCTCTCTCTATCTCTCCCTCCCTCCCTCCCTCCTTCCCTCCTTCCCTTCCTGTTAAAAAAAACACAAAAACACCCATGGCCAGCCTTTTTTCCCTGAAACTTAGGGCCTTCTTCTATGCTCAGTCATGTTGTTGGCTGAATTCACTTCCTTGCAGTTGTAGGACTGGGCCCCTATTCTGCAGACGGTCAGTTTGTGGTCCATCTCAATTCCTAAACACGCTACTTGGTCATGTGGCTTTCTCCTTATGCCTCAGATCCTTCTCATGCACTTTTAAAACAGCTAATGTTGGTATCAAATTGCTGTGGTATTCAGACTTCATCGCATTCATTTAAGGACACTTTTTCAAAAAGATGGCAATACTGATGATATATCCTTTGTAACTACTTAGACTTATGATAAAAAATATTATAAAGCCAAAAAGTTAAAACTCCCCAGGCATACAATAGGGATGGCCCAATCCTGGCATCATGACTGTGGGTGGCAGTACCCCCAACCCCACTATTAGGGACCTCAACCTTTTGTTCCTGGGGTGGAAGTCTCTCCTGCTCCCACAAAGATAGGGGCTCCTAGATAACAGAACCCCCTTTGAGCTGGGACTTGGTGGGAGAAAGCCCAGAACCCAAGCCCTGGCCCTATGAACTCACCCTTTCCTCCCCCACCTTATCAACCCAGAAGCATTCGAGACGAAGGACTTGATCTGTGTCGCGCTTCCAAACCATGACCGCCATCCCACCCGCCTTGTGTATCTGTTTTGAGGACTGTTGGGGATGCTGTGGCCCAGGTGCAGACGTGAAGGGGGTGTTGATCTGGCCATTTCTCAGAGCAGGGTTTCTCTGAGTGTGGTCCTAGACTAGCAGCCTGGGCATCAACGGGGAATCGCGTGGGCCTGTTGACTCGGAAACTCAGGGGGTGGGCCCAGAAATCTGACCCATCTGATTGACAGCTTCCTGACACATGCTCACGTGTAAGATTTGTTGTGGAGAGTATGAAGGTGACAAAACTCTGGGAGCCAAATGCCAATCATTCATTCATTCCATTCGAGCAGATTCTCTATCTGCACCCGTGACCCAGCCTGTCCCCCTATTTTCTCCCGATGTTTGTTCCATTCCAGTTTCTTGACACATGAAATCTGTGGCTCAGTCTCAGCTGAACACTGGAATCTCTAGAGGATCTTTGAAGAATAGTGACGCTTGGGCCACACCCCGAGATTCTGACTTAACTGGTCTGGGCCCGGCCCTGAACTCAGCGATTGTCAAAGCTCACTAGACCCGGTGATCCAGTTTGCAGCCAAGGTCGGGAATCGCCACTAAGGCGCAGTTACCTACAGAGTCCACTAGAGGGCGCTGCTTCCCTGCTCATTCGGGGAGGCAGCTGCGAGCCTGGAAAGATGACCGCTAGACCTGGTCCATGCAGTTAGGTAAGGGGTTACCAGGTGCCCCGACCCCTAACTTACCAGCCCTTTCGCGTTCTGAGAATGTCTGTTTTGCTGACTGACCTAGAAGCAAGCAACACAACCTCTCTAAGCCTTGATTTCTGCATTTTTAAAACCGGGGGGAGAGACGGGCGTGGCCTACATTCATTCTTTCAGTACTCATTGAGTCTTGTGACACGGACAAGGTGCTGATCTGGGTATGGAAAGGATAGGCCTTCACATGGGATAAGACTCCGCCAAGACAGGGGAGACGGATAGAGAGATGGTGGTTTTCATTCATTCCTACTTCATGGAGGGGGCCCGTGGGTGCCTTGAGCATGCGTCAGGAAGCTGTCAATCAGCTCAGTCCCATTTCTGGGC